CTTCATTGTAACCTATCACCAAAAGAAATAGTTCTCTGACTTGTGATAACAATAATCATTTATTGCATTATAAATTAAGAAATTAAAAATGTTCCTATATCCTCTCGTCAGTCCAAAACCTTTAGAAGGTCGCTATTAAAAAAGTACGCGCCTGTCAACAAACTTTAGAAGGTTGCTATTTACTTATAAACTTCAGACACGAAACAGCCGTAGTAAATGTATACGTATCTCCTTCTTACTCATACAAAATTGTTTTAATATCATGAACCTACTTGTTTCGGTATGAAATTGTCGCTATTGAAGTACAAATTGTGCCTTTTTTGTGCCTGTTTCGGGTCATCTTAAGTAGCCCACATTATTGTCGAGCTTGTGGCTTAAAAATATACACAGAGTTGTGTTTTTTTTTATTAATTACTGTAAAGTGAATAAATATTTATTTAAATTAAAATAATTATTATTTTTCACATTTTTTACTCAACAAACTGGAAAAAAAATCAATTCTAGCATTTTTATCTTGGAATTTAGAAAATATAAACAAAGGTGAACATACACATTTACACTTACTCTATTAGATTACTCAACAATAATTCTAACAACATACTATTTTATACAGTTTCCATACGTAATTATTAAGATACTAACTGTTACCCGCGGCTTGGCCCGCATGGTCACTGGGAAATAAACTATCCATTACTTTTTGAATTGAAAGAAAACTGAGTTTTATAGATTTGTCGGAGATGCAGCCATTAAAAAGAAACTGAGCAAAATTGATTCGTCAGCCTATTTAAATGTTTTGAAACGCAGCGTATAGGAAAGCATGAAAATAGCCTGTTTATTCCAAATGGAAATGGGATATTTTTTAATTAAAGGAAACTAGGTGGAGCATTATTATCCGTCAGGGATGCAGACTTTTTAAAAGAAACTGAGCAAAATTGATTCGTCAGAGATGCAGTTTTCTGAATTAAAAGGAAACTGAGCCAAATAAAAGATCCGTCAGAGATGCAGCCTTTTGAGTTGAAAGGAAACTGAGCTTAATAGGTCCGTCAGAGGTGCAGCATTTGGAATTGAAAAGAAACTGAGCTAAATAGGAATTTTTTAATTGAAAGGGAAGATCTATGGGAATTCTTATTAAATGATTGTGGGAATTTTGAAAAAAAAACTAACTGAACACTATTTTAAGACGCTACTGTACACAATGTTATATGTTTTTCCATTCGGGGAAAGAATGTGGAGATTCTAGGCATTTGACACACGCGGACATGCTACATAAAGCTGACCATGAGAGAAGCGCGATTTTTCTAAGTTGACCCCTGCTACCTGTACCGTTTGCCCTTGCGCTTTATTAATTGTCATTGCAAAACTGAGCTTAATAGGGAACTGCAACCTTTTGAATTAAAAAGGAAGATCTATGGGAATTATAGGGATCCATGGTATAATAACATTTTCACCTTTTCCTACGCCTGTAAAAATTGTAGCACTGATTATGTTCCGTCCAAGATGTGTCACACGCAGCCGTGTCCCGTCTACTGACAAATACTCTGTTATTTCTCCTGCTACTTCGCTTAATATAATATATATAATCATGTTGCAAGAATCGCCCTTTCACATAACCATTTTTCTTCATGCATATTGTTCGTTAAATCTGAATAAACGCTCGCAATTAATTCGGAATGACTCTGTACTAAATTACAAAAATCCCTCGTCAATTTAACGCAGCCCTCAGCATCCATTTCCAACCGCCCATCGCCAATTTTTAATAGTGTGTCAGTATAGTTTCCAGCATTGATATCATTATACAAATGCACTCTCATATTCCTAGTCAAACTGAATTTTGTTACCTTGTTCCATAAAATAGACGACTTGAGGCATGCTTTAATTTAATCTACAGGTGTGCCCTTTTGAATGACAGGTAAAATTTGGCGAAAGTCACCAGCCAGTAAAACCACCATTTATTATTATGTGGGGGGTATCAATATAGTTTTCTCATCTGGTTGGGTTCTATAAATATATAATTATAAATTAAAATGAAAAGATAAGTATACATAAATATCAATAAAATAAAATAAATACAAAAAATACACAAATAAATAAAGATCCAACCAGATGGAAGCCCTCGGCAGGGGGAGACCAAACGGCCGAGGGTTAGGGGGAAAGGGAAAGAAACCGACGGACGATGCGGGCGGTATCGAGGACCACTGCCTTCTGCATTTGAGCCAGGAGCGGTCCGTCACGGAGTCCCAGTCGCCTCAGATGACCCGAGAGGCTGACTGGGATTAGCCCATTCGCAGAGACGACTACAGGAATAATTTCGGTCGGCCAACCACCCCACATGTCGGTCACCTCGTGAGCCAGGTCCAGATACTTTGTTCGCTTATCTGTTTCGGCTTTCACGAGGTTCTCGTCATACGGAATGGTAATGTCGACCAAAAATATCCTTGACTGTGCCCGGTCCATCAGCACAATATCAGGCTTATTTGCAAGAATAGTCCTGTCTGTGATGATGGCCCGGTCCCAGTAGAGCCTGGCGCGGTCATTTTCGAGCACGGCTTCCGGCAAGTACTTGTAATACGGCAATTTCCGGTCCACGAGACCGTATTTCAGAGCGAGCTCCTGGTGTTGAATTATGGCTACTAGGTTGTGCCTGTGCAAGTACTCAGAGTTAGAAAGCGCCGAACAACCGGAGATGACATGCCTAAGTGACTCCCTGGGATGGCGACAAGCTCGACAGACGTCGACGGTGCCATCCTTTAGGAATGTATCTCCGATAGTTGTTGGTCTTAATAACCTGATCCTGTATTGCACAGACAAAACCCTCGGTTTCCCCCGAAGAGGTCACCGAAACGTAGCCAGTTGAGGGAGGCGACTGTATCTACAAAGGGCTCATGTAGAGCCCTGTAGTACCTCCCGTGGAGCTCCTTCTCCTTCCATACGGTCTCCCGGTCGGAAATGCTAAGCACTGCTGGGTCCTGCCATTGCTCGTTGGCCAAGGATAGAGGGGTAAGCCCTTTATCACTAGAAATGACGTCATTATAGAATGGATCATCCGATCTCGCCAGGAAGTAATCACGGAGGCTGCACACTTCACGATTATGCATAGTGAGCGCGCTCAGAAAGCCACGCCCACCATTGCTTTCGCGGCAAGTACAGCCTCATTACCGACGATCTCGGATGATGCATCCTATGGGACGTCATGGTAGTGCGGACTTTTCTATCCAGGGCGTTAAGTTCAATCTGAGTCCACCTGAGTATGCCAAAGGTATACATAAGGACAGGTATGACCCAACCGTTATATGCGTGTGTCTTATTCACACCGGACAAAAGGCTATTAAGCACTTTGGTCAAGCGTGCATAAAACACGTCGCAAACTGACTGTTTCATACCAGCCTCATCGATACCGATGTTCTGTGACATACCCAGGTATCGGTATGTTTCAGCCTCGGAAAGGGTCCTTAAGTTGACGAGCATAGATAAATCTATGCCCTCAGAGTTAGCAACCCTTCCCCTCTCAACATGGAGGACCCACTTATCCGTACCCAGCTCCATTCTAATAGAATTGCTAAATTCACAAGTGATGTTTAGCAATTCCATAAGATGGGAGCGACTGGAGGCGAATAACTTAAGGTCATCCATATAGAAAAGGTGGGTCACTTTTGTCCCTCCTTTTCGAAGCTGAAATCCACTCCCGGATCCCTCCAGTAAGGTACTGAGAGGGTTCAGGGTGAGTCAGAACCAGATTGGACTCAGACAATCGCCCTGGAAGATACCCCTTCTTATCCTTATGTGGTTCTCCGCAGCCATCATCCGCTCACCCAGATGACAAAGTATCGTACTCCACTGCCCCATACACTGCTCGAGGAAGTCTCTCACTGTACAGTCTATCTTGTACAGCTCGAGGACTTTCTTTAGCCATGTATGGGGCACCGAGTCGAATGCCTTTCTGTAGTCTATCCAGGCGGCGGAGAAGTTCCGACGGTTGCGTTTCACCACTTTGCCAATGACCGCGTCAATGAGGAGTGGTTCCTTAGTTCCACGACCACCGCCCCGACATCCATTTTGAGCGCGTGACATCATCTGATTTAGCTCCAGGTGACGAGTGATTCTTGCGCTCAAAATGGATGTCAGTGTCTTATATATGGTGGGTAGACACGTAATGGGGCGGTATTTGCTCGGGTCTGTGGTAACCTGGTCTTTAGGAACCAAATGAGGGATCCCAGTAGTGAAGAGGCTAGGGAGCGACTTCTGGTTGAGAGCCTCTTGAAACTGACGGGCGAGCACAGCGTGACACACCATGAACCCCTTCAGCCAGTAGTGATGCAGTCCGCCGAGTCCCGGACTTTTCCAGTTCGGGGCTCTACGGACCGCCTCAGCTACGTCATCCGGCGTTATGATGACGGGGTCCATGGGCGTAATCCTCGCACACTGACTCGCCACAACTTCTGTCCAAGGGCCCTCGCTGTGGTTTACGGGCTCTGACCGCAGGCCACGCCAAAATGCGACAGTGTTAGCCTGGTCCGGTCTTGGGCCCGCTCCACATACCTCTGGTCGCTCCAATGATTTGTAGAGCCTCTTATGATCACTCTGGAAGAGACGATTCTGGTTGAACCGCCTTGACCTCTCAGTAAATCGGCGAATCCGCTTCCCCCAAGCAGCAATCTTTTGCTTCAGGTCGTCTATGCGCTCCGTTAGTTTCTGCGTGATATCCGGCTGGGACAAACTGATATTTGTCCCAGCAAACGCCATTCTAACGGTGCGCACAACCCTCGGCTCTATTATTACCCGACCTGAAGCTTATCAGTCTGCCGATAAGGGCCCTTGCCTTTGCGATACGGTCCTCAATTCTTTTTCTCCAGGCTGGGATGGCGCTACTTTTTTTAGTAGCGCGTCCAGCCATGGGAAGTCTGGCGCCAATAATACGGCAAGCTGCCACTGCGGCGCCAAAAAGAACTGAGTCCGTCTCGCAAAGGTCCCGGCTGGCTTCTAAATAGGTTACCAGCATTTGGTTAAGAGCCCTCACGACAGTCCGATTTCGCTTGCTTAGAGGTATGCGGGGGAAGTCGCGGTCGATTTTCGAGAGGCATGCTGCGCGTTTCCAAAATCGCCTCTTCCAATATACTCCTCATTTGCTCTAGTTCGTGGGAGACCATTTCATCATCATCTGAATCAACCAAAACTGGAAGATCCATGGCGGCTTCTACGCGTGGCAGCTGGTCTGTCGCCTGAGGAGCCGCATCCCCAGCCGTAGCCAATTCATTCGATGAGGGAATGGCCTCACGTCGTAGTCGTTCGAGCTCGGCATCATCGAATATTTTCGAGCGCATGATGTACCAAACTCGGTCTGCCAGGTTTTGTTCCGTGACGGGAACAGACGGCTCCAGCTCAGCAAAAAAGCAATGCATCCGAGCCCGATACGCTATCCCCTTAGTTTCTTCACCTTTCGCCTTATAGTACGCCCGCAATGCGTTTACGTTCATATCCCTTGTCCAACGCATGCGGCGCACTCCACCAGCGGCGGATGCCGCTTGCCGAGTCCGAGAGGACCCTGCCGACATCAAGCCGTCTGGTGGGGATGATGGATGCGGGGGGCTGTTAGGTGTTCTTGCAGCTCCTCGCGCTCGGCTGGAGGCCCGCATGCTGCCGCGTCCAGCGCCAGCTCCAGACGCGCCCCGGCGACCCCCCAGGCAGCGGCCCTATACGTTTTCCAATCATATCCATCATCCATTTTTGGGCGCCAATTAACGGGAGACGCCCAGGCCCGGCACCGTTTCATTGTATCATTGTACGGCCGTAAGCACAAACGGGCCTTTGCACCCTGAGTACTGCCGAGGCACGGCGCTCACACCTCTTGGCAAGGCGCTGACTGACTGCACCGACGTAGCAGTTTTGTCACTTAACTGTTTCGTCAGCGGGCGATGGGGTCGTCACTTCCCTACGCCTTATTATTATTATTATTATAATGTAGGTTGTTGTGCTGAAATTAATATCAGGCTTCTCGAATAGCCTTTGTGCAGGGGATTGCTATATACTCTGTGCTTTTAATATACGCTGGGCTGCCAATTCATGAATGTGCATTTTATCATCTGTAATCATTGCAAGTAGCAAAATTCTCAGGATGTGCGATATAGCTATTGCGTTGAATGACGGGTTCGATTAATTTTTTAAATTATTGTGGCAGATACCTAGAGGCTGATACAAATTTACATAGATGTCAAGCTCCATCTTTACATGATGGTTTAATTTTAATCGAAAACCAAGCTGGGACGTAAGCTTTTACGACAAATGTAGCCAGAGCAATCAAATTCTCTGATGTTACTTTGCTACATAAAAATGAAGAGTTTAATTCAGCATGAGATTTTGCAAAAATGAAATGTGATGATGAAGTACACACATGGAGAGCTGTTTGCTAGATCTTCTGGAAAAGATCTTAATTGTACTACTTGGACGATCTCGTGCAAGTACTATTGATCTATGCTTAAATCTGGGGCATTTTTGGGAGTGATTCTGATTCGATGGGTTGGAATTTCTTTATCGGCATTTGTACAAAAGTTTTCAGTGTCCTTTTCAACTGATCAATGTAAGACTTGGGTCGCGAAGTGCCTGAATTCTCTGAAGAGAGCTTCTTAATAGACTTGAGTAAATTTTTACATTTTAAGTGGTAGGCTTTTAACAATTGTATAACTCGTGTTCTAGTTACGGTCGGAACAGACAAATTTTTCAAAATATATTCAACTCTATGTGCCACAATATTTCCTATTTGTGAAAATATTGGCTCTTTCACAGTTTTCAGTTGCAATTTAACTTGATATTCGGTCCACTCGTAGTACTTCATCACATCCTTACTTTTATTCCCGCGTGCGTCATCATGACCATGAGTTAAAGTAAGTTTACGCGTGAAACTTGGTTTTTTATTGATTTATAATGAAAATATACTATATTTTAAATTAAAAAATAATTAAACATTAAATGTATTTTTATTGTTAAATTTAATTTGTATGCAATATTATATTATAATACCAAAACTTGTGTGCATGATACAATTTAAAGATTTGTATATTTACCATGTTTAATGAAAATAAATATTAATATATGTATATTCATCTCGCTTATGTCAAATATAAAATACACGCACAGCAACGGCACGGTGTCGATGACGCAAAACTAAGGTTCTGCGGTCGTTAATTCACCTGCCAAGCGTGAAATCCCTACAACGTAAGAGGCCCATGTCCAGATGTGGACCTAAAATGCACTATTCGTTGTGCATTTTATGATGCCTCTCCATACCCAAACCTCAACTTCACTATATCCAACAATATATCATCGTAAAAACTAACCTCTCAAAAGTTCAACAAAATTTGTCGTACAAGAGTAACATCTTGTCAGCTGCAGGCTTAATTTAGACCGCCTCGTCTTCATCGACATTTTTCCGTACATTCTAGTAACACAAAATATCTAATCTTATATCGCGACCCCAAGTACTTTGTAATGAAATTAGTTAAACTGGAGGACATTATTACAAAGAAATTCAGTGCAATGCCTATTGTTTAAAACGTTGTAGACATATTCAGTCTTGAATGTAACAAGATTTTACGCATCACCTCGTTATATGTGTCTCTATGTCTTTTTCTAATAGGATTTTTTGAATTACCGGAGACTATTGTACGTAGATATTTATAATTTGACAAAGACAGAACTGTTGAAATTTTAGTCAATATTAATTCATGATTAAAGTTTATTAAGTTTTGTCAGGAAGTGTGTCGAAAACATAAACAAGATCACCTTTGCCATTAAATCAGATTTCTTAGATTACAAATCCACGCAAAGGAACATCAATTCCTACCAAGGATGATTTTCGAGGCTATTGAAATCCTAAAAATATACTAATTACAAAATAGATAAGAACTACCATTTGTTTGAAATCCAATCTAAAATCAATAGAAATTATTCTAGACCCAAGCGTACCCTCAACCATTATTAAGAAAAGAAGGAAAATATTTTTTTCGTTTGGAAAAAATTATAATGTAGCCTTCAACTATGTCAAATTTTTATCTGACATAATTGCCTGATTAGGCCAATAGATTGGTATCCAATACATTACATAATTAAGTTAAACAATTGAAAACTTTAAACATCATAAAAAATGTAAAAATATTTGGCAGTGCAACATGTGTTTTTTCTTGTAGTAATAAAAAATTATCTTGTTCAACAAACGTTTTTAACTTAAGTACGTATACAATGTTAATAAATGACAATGAGTATTATAATATCCAAAATCAGGTGATTTACATTTTCATGCGCAGGCAGCGGCATTGCCGTACATCAAAGGCGTTAAAGGCGTTTCACCACTGTAAGGCATTAAAATATTGGTATTAGCATAAAATGCAAGCCGTCTTTAGGTGCTGGTGGTGCGAAGAGCGGTAAAGAGTTCTGACCACACAACCAAGGCCGTAGACGTGGTGATAAGCCTTAAGGGTTATATCAACAATCAACGTCGTAGCAATTTTTATATAAATCTTATTATATTTACGAATCAAAATCCACTTCAAACTATTATTTAAACGAGAAAACAGGAGCAACAATCCGCCGACGTTGAAGTTTTCGTCAAACCTCATATAAGCGAATTAGCAGTTGACTTACGATGAGCGAATCAAAATCCACTTAAATATTATTTAAACGAGAAAATAGGAGCAAAAATCCACCGATGGTCAAGTTTCCGTCAAAACTCATATAAGGGAATCAGCAGTTAACTTACGATGAGCTTCCAATGATGATTCAAACACTTTTTTCTCAGAGATTATTTCAGAGTACAGTACTTATCTTAGACGTGAAAACTTTGTGGCTAGTGCCTCGTGGTGGATCGCTTAGTCTGTTTCACCTTCATTAAAAGCTTTTCAAGAATATTCCTAAATATTTTTTCTACTTCTAATATGGTACCATGTGTAATTAGTTATTTGACTGTCTTAGTTGCTTCGTTGGTCCAGTTGTCGTAAGCGCAATTGCTGATCATGAGGTTCTGGTTTTGATTCTGGGTCAGGCCGGTTGTTGGGTTTTTCCGTCAGGAAATTCTTAATAGCACCCCTGAAGTCAGGACGTAGATGGTGTTTCACCTACTTGTCGTACCGGATTACCGTACTATCAGACTATGAGAGTGGGGGAATAGAGTGTGCTCCTGTGTTTGCGCACACACTCGAGCACTTTAATCCTATTCTGCAAAGATGATGTCTACATTGAGACTGGCTACCGTGACTGAAATTCGGCCTGGAGGACATTTGTAATTAGTTTCACAATTTAGTTTTCTTTATTATGTCTCTGTGTACGTGTAACTTCCTTCTTTTTAACATATTTTCTTTTAATTTTATATGCTCAAGAAGGCTTAACATCCGCCAATTTTTTATTTGATTAACATACTGTTAATATATTAATATTACATCGCAATTTAAAAACAATGTGAAGTGAGGAGTATTAAAATACGTTTGGTTTGAGTAACCAAAATTGTTTATTCACAAATATTATTTTAGCCGCGGATATGAAATGCCTTTTCGAATGTCTGTTTACGAATGCCATCAAATTTCCTCATGCGGGATTAATTAAAAACAAAAATGATATATACTTTATTAAATTTTTAAATTTTTGTAAAATTTGCATAAAAATAAATTGATAGATAATTAATGATAATGTTGGCAATATGATACAGTGCGTATGAGAGTAAACATTATGAAAAAACTCGTTCAAATAATTAAAGGAATAAGCATCTGTATAGAATATTTAATTAGTACTATATGAGGCCTTTAACAGCGCAAAAACAATAACTAATTACTGGAATTTGATTTTACTGAAGCTTGGTTTATATTTACAGGTGAATTAAAACTAGATATACAAAAAGGACTGAAGTTTGAAAAGCCGAAAATCAATGGGGAAGAAAGATACAATAGCTTCGTACCAGTAAACGAAGTGTAGGGTAGGCCCCGCTAGATGTAGTGATGATTTGGCATAACGTGCGGGAAGTGATGGCGGGTAGCTGTTTCGTATGTTGCGGCGATCTACGAGGAAGACCCAAGTTCAGCAGTGAACTTGCAAAAGCCTGTAATGATGATGATAAACAAGTCTTTTGAAAGTTTGACGAATAATGATTATCAAAATGTTAATAATTAATTTTAGAAGTTTTTAATTTTGCGACAGCTCGCTTAAGATACGAGATGGGGTTTACAGTGAAGAAATTTTATATAAAGTAGGGTTGCCTATACCTTAGCTAAGGCAAGAGAATTTATCATTGCGTTCGGGGCCGTGCGTATTGTAGGTTTTTCGTAAGCTAAAAGTCAGTCGGTTCGGACATTGAGAAAGGCCGGAAGAAAAAATATTTATAGCAAAAAAGTCCTCTTTTAATACTAACTTTGTACAATCAACGTTCTTTGTTAAATCTGTTCTCCTTTGGAACGCTCTTCCTTCCGAAATCAGGAGTGCCGAAAACCGGATTTCGTTCAAATCTAAAGAGCGAGAAGTAATCGTAAATAAAATGGCGGAATCAACTTAGCGTTCGTAGTTAGCCGTGTTTAAT